GGATTAAGTGACAGTTCAGTGTCCTGTGCCAGAGGAGACAGTTCCTATAGGTGGCCTTCACTCCAGGCATGCTTCTGGTGATTCCTTCACATTGCAAGAGATTCCTGACATTTTTGAGGGCAATATAACCTCCAGCTGCTTGGCATTGCCCAGAACTTCCAAAGACACTCCTGCAGGTCCAGGCTGTGACATTGCCATCTGCTGATGGAGAGCAAAGACCCAGCCTGAGGTCTTGCATCACCATTTGAACTGATGGTTTGGCAGCAGGGGGCTGTTTTTACTGCTCCAGGATCAGGTAAGGGTCTTTCCCTGGCAAATCTTTCCATTGTTTGTGAACTGTAAATAGCTGTGGAATGAAATTTGATGAAGGCATCTATTGTTTCCTTACAGCTCTGCTTTGTTGAGTGGAATAGGGATCCCAGCCATGTGGAGTTTTATTATTATTTAATTTGTAGCTGCCCATAATCAGCAAATTCTTTTAGGTGAGGCTTTTGGCATTTTATAGTCAGCATTCTTGCTGTCTGTAAAACCAGCCTAAACCTTTCCTTCTGTTCCTAAAGGCATCTAGTTTAAATTCAAAGTCCATCCATTATAACTTCAGCACCTTGTAATCCCTCAGAGATATGTGCAATTACTCTCTGAAATATCCCAGGAGCAAAACTAATACCAAGCATCATCTGCTTAAATTTACAACATCCAACTAGCACAGTAAAAGCCACTAGCTTAGGGGTTAGCTCATCTGAGCACACTTGCCAAAACACATATCCTGCATCTAATGCTGCTTTTGCTGCTGAGGATTTAGCTGCCACCTCAGGAATCTTCATTGGACAGCATTCACATTTCATGGTCTTATTTAAATAGCAGGAGTGGATGCACATGTCCTTCATCTGGCATTTGGGTGTCAGCCAGTGAGCTCAGGGGCCTGCCCTGCCCCTGCCTTCTCCACACTGTTGTTTCCTCAGGTTCTTAGCCATGAGCTTGTCTCCCATCCTTCATCCCAGGAGCAGTTCAGCCATAATTTCTGTCAAAGGGCTTGGGATGAGGACACGGGCACTTAGGCTGCAACTGAAGCAATCTTCTTGCATAACATGCTTCTCCTTTCCATTCCTTAGAGTTTTACAGCCATTTTCATCCAAGCCTATTGACTTCATCCCTATAAATCCAATGATTTTTCCATAAGGATTAGTGTCAGATTCTCCCTGCAGACATCTTGGGTCTTGGAAGACAAAGGAGTGTTCTACTGAGGGCTGGCTGGTGAGCCCGAGGCATTTACAGCCATGGCTTAAAATGCACTTCATGGGCAGGCAGGGTTTCAGCCCCGGTGCAGCTCATCCACCACGGGGATTTGGGAAGCCAGGACACAGGAGGGGTCCCAACAGTGCACTGGAATGTGGATACCTGGATATGAAATAAGCACTGTGTGGGTTCTTCCTGCCCTTGAAGGCCATGGAAAAGCTGGGAGAGGAATTGTCTAGATCCGACACCAAGGCTTCATAGCTGGGTCAAGATGAAGCTTGGAGAGGGAAATTTAGAGAGAAGAAATGGTCAAACTGACAATCAGGGAAATCCTGAAAGGTAAAACTGCCTCTGAGAGTTCCTCCTCAGCTTTTCAGCTTTCCCCTGGGCACACAGAGCAGGGTTTGCACATCACAGCACTGACTGACTGTGCCACAGGGAGCTGGGCTGAAATCCACAGGTAGGGATGGACACACCAGAAACGTTCCCTCTGGATGGAAAAATGGCATTAGGCACCAAGTAAAGGGATGTGGAAGAGGAAGGAAACTCTGCATACATCAGCATGAGGGTTTGAGCATTTTATTATGATATATAAATTTTGTCTTCTTAAATTACTCTCTATGAGTTGAACAGAAAGGAATTATGGTGGAGGAAGGAATATACAAAAATAAAAGGATATTGTGAGCTACTGCATCACCACATATACAACAGTAAAGTACTTTACAAGCACTTAGAGAATCAGACTTACAAAAATAAAAATATGACACATCCTTATGCAATTCCACCACTTTTAAGTTCTCTTCTTCCTTCTCTAACCTTCAGACACCTTTCAATCCCATCCTCAGGTCACAATTCACAAGACAGGATACTTTGCTCATTCTGATGGCCATTACAGTATCTGAAAAAGAATTAGTGCCTCCCTAGACTTATAAAATCCACTGGGTATAGAGCTTTGGGGGAGGTGTTCAGAACAGATCAATTTGTGAGTGATCAGGTGATCCTCAGGGAGCAGACTTTATCTGGCAATAAAAATCTGAATATCCCACAAGAAGATCCATCATCCCCTCTAAAGCATTCCCCCATCTCCACAGAGGCACAGCTCTGTGCCTGCTTGATTGATGCACACAGAAAGCATCACATGGGCCTGGGGAATGCTGCTGCTCACAGACTTCAGCAGGACTGAGTGACTGTGACAGAGGATGGATCTGATTTTGTTTCAGCTCTAAAAAAGGCAAAGATGCCTTTTCCTACAGGAAAAGAGGCAGGCTAAAACCACAATGGCTAAATATCCTAGATCACAGTGCTCACACACAGAACCATTCACCTCTACATCAGACTCAGGCAGTCTTTAGTCTTCAGTTTGCTCTACAAAGTCTTTTTTTTTTTTTGCTCATTAGCCTTCTGGTGACCTTTCCCATTTTTTTTAAGACACACTCAACATAAATAGTAAATAGCATTCACTTCTCTGACCAGCAGCTCACTCAAACACTGCTATCAACACCCAAACACCATTTCAACAGTCCCAGAAAGCGTGCACCCAGGGTGCAAATCTGTCTGTATTTCACATTGAGGAAAGTAGAGCTGGCTTAGGAAGAAGAAAAAAAAATAAAGAAAAAGGCAAACAACAAAGACAAGCAGTAAACTTTTGGTCAAAGTTGTTCTCTGTGGTTTGTGCAACATATTCCACAGCTTCTACAAGTTCAATATTTGGTTAGGGTTTCATCTTTTTGGCCCCAAATGCAATGACAGTAATGCAGGCAGGCCAGACATGAGCACACTGTTGTGTTCCAGGGCAAAGGAATCACAGGGATGAAGGGGAGAGAGAACCCCCCACATTTGAGATAGGGACTTTCCATATTGAAAAAAAAAAACAATCTTCCCCTCATCAAAAAAGATAAAGGCAGTGTCTGACTTTACCCATCAGGCTTGCAGAGCTGTGGAAAACACACACATCAGGATCCTGGGGAGAAATAGTGTAGCCACAGTCCCAGCTGTTCAAGGAAACTCACATTTCCATGGTCTAAATGTATCATTTGTATCTTTCAGAAAATATACAGGAACAAAGATTTGCTGGCTGAGATTGACAACACTCCATTTGAAAGAAAAGCACCTCCCTAGTGGGACTGATTGTTCCTTTCAGATGTACACACACACTACAGGTATGGCACAAGGCACTTCCTGGCTGCCCAGAGAGATTCTTCACTGGCAACACAAAAACACGATTCAGTTTCTGGTGTTTAAGCAAAACAAAAAAAGTCATCACTTTTCCCAGGCATGAGTAAGATGAACTTTGGCTTTTCTGCCACTGCCTAACCCAGCCCCAGGGGTGGGAGCAGCAGGGGCAGAGTGGGCAGGCAAGGGTGAAGACTTGACCCTCTGTGGTTTCCTTGACCTCAGGAAAAACAAAGTCCCTTTCCAACACCAGCTTTTGCTGAGAGGAAAAGCAGCTTGTGATGGGCCCATGGCAGATACCTCTGCCATATAAAAAGATATAAAAAGGGATTTTTCAAAAATTTCTCCTGATCTCAGGCACTTGGCGATGTCCCAGTTTGGATGTGGTCCAGGGTGACAGTCCCACCATAGCCACAGTGGCTACACAGCCCAAAATATGTTCAGCAGCACAGAAAGCCAAGCTGCTTTCTATCTTTTTTCCCCCTAACATGGCAAAACCAGAAAAGCTGCTTAAACTCAAAGGAGCAGGAGCATGTTAGGTCACTTCTAGTGTATTTGCAGAGAAAACAAAGCATGAAGCTTCAAAGAGGCCTGGGCTGGGTGTGTGGGACCCTCCAGTGCCAAGGATGCAGCCCTGCTCTGCACCCTCCCAGGGTCACATCCACCTGGGAGACTTTGCCTCTCCCTGTGTGGTGGAAGTCCAGGTTGAGGTGCAGTCTCCCTGCTGGTTTTATATTTGCACACTAGGTTTTTTTGGCTTGCCCTGAATTCTCTTTTGCTGTTGCAGCTGATATTTAGCAAACAGAACTAAGAGTGGACAGAGTGGGCAGAAACCTGCAGCCAGTCATGATGAAAGGATTTTTCTGGGGAAAAACTCTCCTGCTCAAAGACCACCATGTTCAAGAACAGCAGCTTTGTGCTCGAAGCAGGGGAACAATCCAGCTGTTCAAAGGAGCAGAACAGGGAAGAGTCTGGCATCCCCTCAGCTCTGAGGTGAGCCTGTCCCACTCTGTCACCGTGCAGGGATCTCCTGGGTGTGAGCATGGACCTGGATTATGCTGCTGCCAGCCTGGGACCCTGCCCCTTGGCACAGACTCCTGGGCATGCAGGCACTGAGCCCTCCAGAGCCTCCACGTGTCCCCAGCAAAGCAGAGGAGAATTTCCCCTGCTCCCAAGGCTCGTCAGCAGCACGTGGCCAGCAGGACAGACCTGAAGATGAACCAGCAGGTAAGTGCATCACTGACCTCACTGCACTGGGACCACGTTCATCCAGGCACAACTCCCTGCTGCCTAAGCCAGCTCTCCTGTTTGCTGGAGCCCTGGGGAGAAGGGTTGCTTCAGGCACAATAATCCCTTTGGAGGCAGATGCTGCTTTTCCAGGCTTTGATGCTGACAGACAGTGACAGCAGAATCTGACCACTAACAAATATAGTCCTTGTTTGTGCTGCTGTAAGGAATTCAACAGTAGGTGGAAGCCTTGGAAATCCTTTGAGGGGTTCTTTCTACCAAGTCCTAACTCCCAGCAGACAGGGAGAGTTCAGCACTGCCATAACACACATCTTTCAGCACTAATGATGCTTCAGCTGTCAGGATTGAAGTTTGTATTTAAAGACTTTATATTTACCTCTGGTGGAAAAACTGTGCTACACTTTGAACAAGAGAACTCTGTTTCACAAAGGTCACAGTTCTGGTCACATTTACCAACTGCTTTTTGAAACTGATGGAAAAAGTATCTTTATAAGTCACTAATTTTATTATTTTTTTCAAGTTTCTCAGACTTTTTTCTTTTTAAATCTCAGTGGGTTTGTGCGTCAACTGTTCTGGGCAATCAGCTACGTCTTGTTGACATTGTTAATAGGCTTTCTGACTTGGCTGCTCAGCTGTGCTCTGAAATAACTCCATCAGACTCACAGCAAGTCAGGAACAAAATGGAAAGTTCAGAAGAGAGAAAGCTGGAAATTAATTTCCGGAGCTGTGTGGTTATTTCTAAGTCTGAGCAGCATGCAAAAATTCTTGGTAAGATTTTTGGAGACAATTCCGTGCTATTTTCAAGTTATATGTTTGTGGGAATCCAGGCTCTTGCAAGAGACCAAAGTGAAGACATACCAGGAGAATGGGATTCATGAGTGGGGGATGTTTTACCTTAGGATGGCTACACTGGCTCCTGCTCACAGTTTCTTTGTCCTTTTGCAGAGACAGTTCAGCTGTTTGTGAAGTACCTGTTTTTAGTGCTACAGCCTGGCTGAGTAAGGAAAACCCAGATGGATTTGGGCTCTTCAATCCTTCAAGCTCTACACTGAGAAAGTTTGGCTGCTCCTCTACAGGCAGAAAAGCTGCCCATGCCACAAATATGGAAACTATTGAGAGGGGGAGTTAAACCTGCCCTAGCTTCAAAGAAGCCAGGGAGCATCTTTCTGCTCTACACTCCTCTCTGCAATACAGCCACACCCTGAAACTCAGCAGGGCTGCAAGTGCATACAGATCCCTTAAATTAGGTGTTGGAGGCAGTGAACAGCATGGTACACTTGGTCTGACAATACTTTTAGAAGGGCACTCGGCTCCTAAATTTCTTTTAGAAATTTTTAGAAACTAGCCCTTCAGCTGCTCCTTTTCCTCAGTCTCCCTGCTTACTCCTGGCTGGTTCACAGAAGATGTGTCTGTGCATCACAGCAGGCCCCTCTCCCATCTCCTGGTTGTGCTGTGCTTTGCTGTGGTATGCAAACATCCAGCTGCCATCAGGAGCTGGGGGACCTGTTTAAATCCTCTTTTTCTCAGGGTGAGAGTCTCCACTCCTCTCAGGAATTGGGGCGACTGCAGTGCTGTGATAGGGCAGCTCTCACTCAGATGAGCTGTTGGAGGAAGCTGTGATGTACTGATACAAATAGCCACCTCCTCTGCATTTCAGCTCTGAAAGAGATCTGGCCTGGTGTGTGCTGGGCTGAACAGACGCTGACTCTGCAGTTGGTCTTCCCTTTGCAGAGACCAAAATAGCTCTGAAGCTTACAGTGACTCTCACCTATGTGTGCTAGACAAGACCTACAGAGCTCATAAGGCATCATTCTGCAATGGGTAACAGGGTCCTTTGTCATCTTGATTTCATCTAAACACAAGCCAAAAATAGATACGCTCGGAGAAAAAAAAAAACAAAAACCAAAAATAAAATCCAGATCACGAATGTCAGGAACGTCGCAAAATACAAGCCAGCCTCTCACTGATCAAAACCATCCTGTGCCCTGCAAGCCTCCTCCCAGCCAGTTCAGCCTCACTGGGAGCTGCTCTCCAGCCATGAACACTCAGCTGCCAGCAGGCCAGGCGCAGCCGGAGCCCCGCGAAGCCTCCCGGGGCGGATCAGAGGGTCTCGCCGTACATGACGCACGGGTTGGTTTCCTCACAGAGTTCCAGCTGCACGCTGGAAGCGAACCAGCGCTTGGCACAACCCAAGCTGTAGTTGAGGGTGGTCCGGTAAATGTTCTTGGCACGCTTAGGGAAAATGATGGTCGTGCTCTGAAACCTCACCGGCTTCTGGCGGGGCTCGAAGATCAGCTGGGACTTGTAGTTGCGCCAGGTGCAGTTGGGAGCGGCGATGATGGTCTCGCTGTAGGTGGTGACCGTGGGGATGGGGCCGTAGAAGATGTCATCCCGATAGTGCTTCTCCGAGTCGTACTTCACCTCGGAATTGCACCTGCAGAGGACAGCAAGGGATCAGGAGCACAGCCCTGGCAGCAAAGGAGGTAAGGCAGGCAGGACTCTTCTCCAACCCTTCGAAGCTGGCAGCATTTACCAACTCTTACTGCACAGATGCCAACTCTACAACCCACAGCCAAGAGGACTCTGTCCTGCTGGGAAACCCCACCTTGCTATGAATCCATCCCAGCATTTCTGCAAGAACCAGCAGAACCAGGGCAGAAAAGACCTTGCTGCAGAGGCTCCAAGCAATGCTCTTCTTCCTCTGGTTTTCTCCATGGGTCCCACTGGGGTATCAGCTCAGCCCTGAGAGCTGCACTGGAGGCAGACAAACACCCTGTGATGGACCTGTTGAGCTGTCAATGCTGTCTGGCTTTTCTTTCATCGTTGCACAAAAATGCCCAAACCAGCTAAAATCTGAGTGCTGGGACATGAAGGGTGAGGATGCTTGTTGAAGCCTACAAAAAATCCAAGCAATGCTAAAAGAGCAGGAAAAGCAAAGGGATATTGTGGGCTATGGCTGCCCAACACCCAAGCCACTGTCTCAAAGGAACCGGCCACCTGAACAGCCAACAGATGACAAACCACAAAAGGTTGGATGTCAGAGCCCTGCCTTTTTTCTGCACCCATCCAGAAAGGATGTGCAGACACCAGGCCAGAAAAAGGGCTTTTACTGGAATCCCTAGCCATGGGTAACAGGATTTCCACTGGTTTTCCCCACTCCCCAAATGCTCCTCCAGCAATCAGCAGCCAAGGAATGTGCAGTTCCACGTAAAAAAGATTAAAAGCTGGGTGTGTGCTTGTCATTACCTCCACCCAGAGGGGGGCTGACTGATTGTGCACCGTGTGTAATCTGAGCTGCTGTAATGTATTTTGCACAGCTAGGGTGTAAGCAAGTCATTCAGCACGCATAAAACAAGCCTCCGATGTAATCACCATAAAAACATGCCCGCTGGCAGTTCCTCAGCCAGCAGAGATTTACTGGGGTACATTTCCAGAGAGGCTTTTGCATAGGTTGAGGGGGTTTACAGTCCTCCCACTGTCCCTGCCCCAAGCTGTTTGCAGGATACATTCCACATCAGCAAAAGAGTAAAGACCAACATTTATCCATTGGCCACAGCACCAGCCCTACAGGAGGGCAGAACATCTCCATCACTGGCTTGAGGGACCATCTCCTCACACAGAGGAGCTCATTCAGTCTCTGTGGGCTGTCTAATGCTGGTTTCTCTGTGGCAAGAGCGAACAAAAACAGGTGCCAATTAGAAGGGTGTTGCTTCTTCTGAAGACAAGTCATCTGGGAACAGTATGAAGACCATCAGATTACTTAGTGGAGGCCATCAAGCCCACAGATGGTAATGGTTTTCTCTCATAGCCTTGGATTTTAGCTGGCCTTGGAAGGAAAGCTGCCTTGTGTTAAAACCTCCCTCCAGTTCCTGCCTGTGCTGCTGTCAGTGGCTTTAATTCGGGAATTACCCTCCCACCTGTCCTTCCCTTTCCATCAAAATAACCATGACTCCCATTTATAAATACATTTTAATCTTTGGCAGAAGCACCAGAAAAAAGACAGAAATCCCCATCTACCCACCCAATCCCAGCTGTACCTGATTTCCTGCACGGGCTCAGGGTTGACCTCAATGCTTTCTCCAAAAAACACGGGGTACATTCGAGGCCTTATCTCTGGCATGGACGGGTTCAGGAGCAGATAAGGCATCTGCAGGGAAGGAGAGCACAGCAAGTGTTGGAACACAACAGATGGGGCTGGCAGTTCAAAACGTGCTGTGGCTGGCAGCTGAGCAGCCTAACACAACACCTGGACTGTCCTCACCTACCAAGACCTCCCTCTGCCCCAGCACACCTCCCAGGTACGTGACTGTGCCCACATCTCTGTCACTTCATGCTGCAGTATCTGTTTGTTGAAATTTAACCTTGCCTCTCCTTCTTCCTGTCTTGTTTCTCATAGGAATTGCAATTGGTTTTGAGTTTTCTTTAGCCCTGATATTGCCTTTGCTGGTAGGAATTAACAAGTCTTAGAAACACTCAGAATGTGTCAGCATGGAGAAGAGCTCTATGTCTGACCTAACACAGTGATAGGGGATAAGGCTGCTGACTTGGAGGATGTAGGTCTACTGAAGTGAGACATGTGTATGTATTTTTATAGATATACATCCAAATATGTACATAAAATCATGTATCCCTTGCAACAATCCAGCAGAGGAAGTGTTAGACTTGCTGTTCCCAAAGTCTCCGTGCCAAAAATGGCTCTTGTGCTCCAAAGGACATTCTTGTTAACCATAAAACTGAGGGTGGGGTGAGACACTGGGGCACCTTGTGGCCTCTGCAATGCAGGAAGCCAGTTGCAAGCCAGGACTTTATAATGAGTGGAGCAGCTCCAATTCATGACACCAAAACTGCATTTTTAAGACTAACTGCACTGCGAACTTACTTACTCTGACAAATTGTCACAGACCAGCCTAGGCTCCTCTGCCCACCACAGAAATGACTAATCCCACTTCTCTATACTGGAGTGCTCTCAAACACCAGTTCCCACTTATGGGGATCCTGTGTCTGGTGCCTGGACCAAACCCAGCAGCTAATTCAGCCTAATCCTGCCCTCCTGGAAAAATGTCACTGCAGGTTTCAGTCTCTGCCACAACTTTTCTGTCAGCAGATATTTATGACGCACAGGGACACAGGATCTCTTTAAAGGAGATGGCTGGCAGCCTCTGTGCTGTCTGTAGATGGCTAGCTGAGGTCTGCTTTCCTCTCCTGGTTTGGGCCTTCTGCCTCAGGCTAAGGCAAAAAAATGTCACTGCTCCATCTGAATTTGCCAAGCCATTGAATTCTGTGTCCCAAAGCCACAAAGCTGTTTCTTCTTTTCATACTGAAATTTCCCTGCACTTTACAACTGTGTAAAGTTGTACTATTAAGTAAAATGGCCAACCCCTCTTTTTGATTGAATACTGTTCCATTGTCAAAACAGAACAGTATCTGCATAGTTATGGGGGAGAAAAAAGAAAAAAAATATATGTTCACTCTCCCTAGCAAATACTGGCCAAAAGGCAAAGTTCATTCCTGAATTGCTTTCAACACTCTTGACAGGGGAGGGCAAGGGCAGCCTTTCTGGTCGTAAATAAAGCTCTTTGCTTCTGAAATGTGAATTGTTTACATCAGACAAGCCTCAGTTCACAAGGGTGCAGATGTCCAGCTTGTAACAGTCTGCACAAGGCCAGAGCTCTTTCTAAAGACATTTTGTACATAAGAGGAGGTTCCTATGGGTGCAGGAGTCAAACACCATTTGCACATGCTCATGAGCTTTGTGAACAGCAGGCAGGCTGCCCTTTGGGGGTTCACCTGCAGAGGGATGCAGATTGCTTGAACTGGTGAAGGAAACAAGGCTGGGGATACGTGTCCCTCCTTTAAAGAAGCAGTTTCAAAGAAGTGCTGCCAGGCAAACAAGCCTTCACACTTCTTGCTAACAAATGCTGACGCTGAGTGTGCTCCAAACATCCCCAGGATGCAGGAGATGTTACGAAGTCTTTCCTGTGGCTTAGCAGGAACATTGCTGGGGCATCTGGCCCCCAGTGTGTGCGGGGGAAGAGCCTTCCCAGCCCGCTGAGCACCGGGGGTGCTGCTCGGTCAGAGCGTGGCACGGCCGCGATCGCCGTCTGTGCAGAGCACAAGTCCCACAGCAGGGAACAGGAAACAAGAACACGCTGCAGAAACACCACCAGTGTGCACAGAGAAACAGAGGGGCTGGCGTGCACGACTGACATCAATCAGACTCAACGATTTGCTGCTGAAGTTGGTGAGAGCAGGATTAAGTGTTCTCCAGGTTAGTGCTGGATCGGTGTGATGAAGCTATTTCCATTGTTACAGTTAACCTTGCTCTGGGCGGGGAAGGGTGGCAAAAGGCATTTCATATGCTGTGGATGAGCACCAACTTCAGACCTGCAGGCTTGGCTTAGTTTAGAAAGCTGGAACAACTGAGAACACTGGCAGGCCAAAGCCAGGATTTCTACTGCCTGTCAAGACCATTACAGACTCAGACCTCTCTTCTGTGAGCTGCTGCAGGTCAGAAACTTTGAAGTAACCTGGAAGTCTGCACATGGAAGATGTAAATAAATTACAAATCATGGCCTAAAAATGGAGATCTCTAAGATCCTGCAGGCTGCTCACCAAACTGATTTGCTTGCACAGCATGAAGGGGTCACTAAACAGCAACCACAGGTTTCACACAGCAGCCACTGAAAGGCACCCCAGGTGACATTTTGTTTTCCCTCCAGTGATGTTCCGAAATGTCGGCTCCTGCAAGTCACCTGGAGCTGGGAAGCAAGGAACAGGGGATATGAGCTTTCCAAAAGATTTGTCTTTGGGGCTGAAATGTTATATGCTTGGCACATGTCAAAAGCTGGCTTTTTGGCAAGAGTTTGACACCGACTCCTTCCAACCTGCTTTAAGGAAAAAAACCAAAAATGTTCTGCCTGTCAAAAAAATACTGACTCAATTCTTTTTCCTTCTGCACAGGAATGGCTGAAAGAGGAGGAGCACTGAATTCTGAGCTCCCTTGAGAAAATCAGGATCCCTGGCTTATTTCTAGGAATCACTTGGTGATCTCCAGACTCTCCACAAATAAGGTAGGTTTCTGTATTATCCTGCAATATGACAGGGAGCAGAGCTTGCTGCACACTCCTGGGGGTCACTGATGGTGAAGAGGAGAAGCCCCCATCACTTCAGACCAGGCTGTCCCCGAGTGATCCATAGCTGAGGTCTGTCTGTCTGTCAATCCAAGGGTTGCTGTGCTGGAATGCTGCAGTGGGGACCTGATCCATCTGTCCCCACTAACTGGAGCTGTGCTGGCACTTACCACATGCAGCTTCACAACAGACAACACAACCCTGGCATCTTTAAGGACAGAAGGAGTCTGGCAAGGAAGGTTGAGAAGACAAAATGAAAGATACCGGAGACATCAAAAAAGTGACTCCCATGTTTACAACTTGATCCAAGGTGAATATTAGGCAGTAAATGAGCTTTTATTTTTATTTCTTCTCTAGTACATAATTTGTGTCAACCAGCAAAGAGTTACAGTAGTATTAAAAAGTTGAAGAGCTTTCTTGTTTGGCTGCATTTTTCCCTCTGCCTTAACTCTGATGCCTTTCAGGCATGTAACGGCCTGGGCAGCAAAACTCTGCTTTTTGCAAGTAGCAGATAGATAAACACAGATAAAATTGGTTGCTGAATGGAATTCAATCTCCAGCTCATCGACAGCATTGACTGTTCTTTAGCTGCCAAATTCCAGGCAGCAAAGCAAGAAAAAGGAAAGGAAATTAACGTGACTTGAAATAAATAAACCCCCAAAACCTTTCCCCAGAGAGCACAAAGAACCAGAACTGACTCCTTTTGCCATGGTCATTATATGGAAGGCACTAAGATGTGGCAGGAGATCTCTAGGGACTGTAAGGGGAAACAGCTTTCCAAGTGTCAGGGCTACAAACAGGATACAGCTTCCCAAATTCCCAGCTCCTAACTTAGCTAGGGCATAAGCAAATCTCTCACCACATTTTCCCACTATGGTAACATGTCAGGTCCATGAAAATGTCACTTTACTCAGCTGTTATTTACAGCCACAATGAAAGATCTGGCTGAGTTATTTGACACACATCTACATTCTCCGCTCTAGAAGATAAGCAATATTTGTTTAACAGACCATTTATTTTCCCAATATCTGCACGTATTGCACATTACGAGTAATTTATACCAGAGCCGGATGAGATTATATTGAGAGGTGATAACAGAAAATGCAAACCTCAGGTAGAAAGCAGGGGTTTATTATTTCAAAGAATTACATCCTTCCTGCTTATCTCCCTCTTTTATTTCAAGTGGGAAATGTGTGCTACTTTGCTTATTGTCCACAGGGTTACGTAGGGACACAATGGAAATTCAACAGCTAGGAGACATCACCCTCAATGTCTTTCATCAGAGCCACACTTTTCTGAGCAGGTGATGAGATCCTGATGCTTGTTTCCCTGATCTGCCCAGAAGGGACATCTGTCAGATCAGGTGAGGCCAGTCAAGTGAAGCCCAGAGGCATGTCCTGTCCTTCATCAAGGAGGAAGAGGAGAGGGCGCATATCCAGAACTGGGTGGGGCTGAGGGACAGGGAACAGCCAGGTGGGATTAGCCTTTGCCAGGAGAGGACACAGGCATGGAACTGAAGCTGGGGGAATTCCTGCAGGATCCAGTCCCATGGGAGTGGCTCAGAAGTGGGTCAGGATGCCAGGCTGCCAACAAGCCCTGAGGCAAACCCTGCTGTGGTGCCAGATGGGTGCCTCGCTCCCTGCAGCAGCCTGGGGCTTCCCCAGAGCTGCTGGGACCCACAGGGCCTCGGGAGTCACGTCCCCTGCCTCGTGTGTGGGCTGCAGGCTGCCTCAGGTCGGGGTGCAGGGCCTCCCTCTCACGTGTGCTGTCAGTCTAGGTGCTGACAGGTATGGAAATTACACATGGAAAATCTCTGATGGCCACGTTCCCCACCCAGTCCCTGTAAGACACTGCCCTATTCCTGAAGCAATTCCAGTGCAGGAGGAGAGGCTGGCTCTGTGACCCAAGGGGTCTTCAAAATGCTGCATGTCAGGAAGAGATGTTCTTTTGGGTTTTTTTAACATGAGCCATTAATCCAACAGGGTTGGCACAAATGCTGACTTTGACCACATTGTTGGGACCCCACTGTTGTCTGTGAAGGCTGTGCCAAGGGGCAAGGTCTTCTTCTCATGCTTGAAATGAAGCTGGAATCTTCTCCCACCACCCAAGAGTGATTCTGAACCATTCTTGCTGCTGAATGTAAGTAGAAATTCCCTACATCCCCACAGTTGATCCACTGGGATATAGTCCCTCAGTGCTCATTGAGGCAGGTTGAGTGCACAAATACCTAAATCTTACAAAGTAAAAGGAACTCACTGCAGTGGCAAAAGCTCCTTCCACTGCTGGGAAGAAACATAAAATCTGCTTCAAGAACGCCCAATGGATAGTTCTGCAGATGAATGTGAGCTTGATGTCCCCTGATATCCATTAGCAGTTGTGTGATGGATGCAAAGCACTTATTTCAGTACAGTCCAAAAGCAGTTCTTCTAGCCCCAATCAGTGTCCCAGGGCAAGAACAACAGGGAAAACTCTAAGCATATATGGGTACTTTGATGTCATTCCATTCCCCACGCTTTCAGCAACTGCTTCTTTGTGCATATTATTAGGATTTATTTTGTTGTATTTCTGTTCCTTCTGACCCAGCTTTAGAGGCACAGTCTAGAGAATTCAGTAACCCAAGTCATAAGAATCAATTTAATAATGTTTCAGATTTAAAAGGCAGAACTAGGTAAAAGTCACTTTCTATTTTCCTTAGGATATTTGCACTTAAGCACAAAACACTTGACAAATTCCCTACATGGATTTTATTTGAAGAAATAAAAGCCAATTTATCCTGCACTACAAGTAAAATGAAAAAAAAAAAGTCCCTAAATGGTGTTGAACTTGTGGTATTTATGACTCTGGCCCTAAATTGCCTTTCATATTTTCTTGGATCCCAAAGCTGTTCCCAAATTGGCTGGTTAAATGTGAATAAATGGTGCATTGTCTTTGAAACAAAGTTGTGCTTATTAAAGAGCAGAGAGTTTACTTTTTCAGAGTCACAGTTAATAACACAGAGCAGAGAGAGCACAGATTCTGCACACAAGAAAGCCGTCGATAAGGGCATGCAATCTCCTTTTAGTCTCCACGAGAAGGGCTGTCCCAAAGCAGAAAAATTTGGTAACACATTTGTGAAGTTGGAGCAAAATAGCTGACTGCAGAAGAATGCAACTGGGTTCAGACTGGTGGTTTGATAGTTCTGCAGCAAAGAATAGCCTGAAATACTTCGCTCAGATCTGGAATGTTGTTTCCTTCACCTGACAGCAATTTAGTGTAACTGTACATAGTAGAACCTTGGCTGCTGGTGACTGAGTTCTGTATGGTTTTATAGTATTCCAACACAAAGAGTGCAGGTTGTGCTCCTGGCTCTGTCACGTTTATAAGCAAAACAAACACTAATATAACAGGCGATTAAAACCAGCATTTCTTGGTGTGCAAATAGCTGCAATTATTGATTTGCCAATTCTGCGTGCTCTGATGAACAGCAGAGGAATAGACTTAAACAGAAGCACATTCATGGGTTGCATAACTGCTCACAGATCTGCAAGCCCTTGTAAAATGGCAAAATTAAAGCTAATTAGACACTGCAATTTAGAAATATGAAGCAAGCAATACTCTTCATATTTTTTCTGCTCTAATATCGGCTGCAAGTACAGTATTTGTACAGTGGAAATGAGAGGAAGTGAAACTCTCTGCAGTCAAATAGAGTGAAAATTCCTGTTTACTTCATTATTTTGCAGTGAACCAGAGTTAAAGAGCAGAGCCCAGCACCACTCCAAATAATACAGTCCAACTGGTTTCAGCATTTGGATCCCTGCAACCTTCTGTACCTGCTAAGAGCATGGAATTCCACACATTTCCAATGTATGGAACCCATACTCTAAGCAGGAGCCCTTGCAATGTGATACAGAATTTGGAAACACCTACAGTGTCAGCTTTTCTGAAGTGTCTAAAATGTTCATTAATGATCAAAACAACTGAAAAACTTTACCTTATACAGATCACAGGAATAATTTGTTTCCCTATAGGAGTCAAGCACTAAAACTCTCAATCCTAACAGCCCATGAACTGAAATAAATTTTCTCATGTTCTTTCTTCTTCGATACCTAAGGACTTTCTTGGATGGTGTGCTGGCCAACTGTCATATGACTGGAATGGAGACTGTCATATCCCCCTTACAGAGTTTTTCAGACACCTCCACCCTGCTGGTTTTTTGCTCCAGCAGCCTTCACTCACCTTCCTCCCCAATTTTATTTTACAGACACACAGGAACAGCCTGATGCTGCCAAGTCAGAGGCATGTGGGTAACTTTGTACATAAACACTCCCATCAAATGGCACACACACCCAGGCATCTGCAGGTAAGGCTCCATATTAGGAACTGTGGCATTAGCAGGTTTGAGATTTGACTTTCATAATAAGCCCTCACACCCTCTCCACTGTGAGGAGTCATTGTTCATAGGGAAGGTTTTGGCATGTTCAGGAGTAAAAGGCAGTTTTTGGTAATATGCTCAAAAGGCCTTAGAACTTGAGAAAGTTCATGAGGGTGTGAGGAGTCATTGCAAAATGTCTCTATGGGAAAGAAGTCTAAATTGTCACTAAACCAGAGGTAGATAAATTTTTCTCATGGAAAGATTTGTGCTGCAGTTTTAAGCCAATTAACCACGCTGAATACACCTACAAACATCTTTTATACATGTTTTAAAAATTTTTAAAGAGCCCTGGGGAAGAACTTTCATCATCCTTTAAAAACCTCCACCACCACTGCCTATGCTCTGAACGCTGTGTTTTAAAAACAGGTTTTATAGCTCAGGGATAGAAATAAACAAATAAAGCAAAATAATAGTGATAATAAATCTACCCAGATCCTACTCCACATTCAAGTGCTTCCCTGGCACTGCATCAGGCTGACCGAGACCTGCGGTGCTCTGCCAGCTGTCTGAGCTTACAAACCACTACCCCCGGCTCCGCTCGGCTGCCAGAGGACAAACCTTTCACACAGGCTCATGCCACAGAGCCTGGCTCCAGCAAAGGGCAGCGGCACACAGCCCTTCCCAGACCCTGTCCCCAGCAGCTCCTTGGAGACACATCCCTACCCTGCCACAGCTGAAGGGCACTTTTGTCTTTCTTTCAGCCAGGGCTCCAGCAAACGCGGCTCCACACTCCTCACAAGCCAGATGTGGGATGCCAGGGTGGAACGATGGCTGGGAGCCAGACGCCCCTGCCTCGGTCCGGATGGATGCAGCTCCAACCTGTACCCACCAGTGTCACTGAGAAACAACTACACTTTTCCGAAGGTGGGCAGGGGAGCTTGGTTCAGGCTCGGGGTTTCACTCCCACACCGTTATTACAGTTCACCCAGCCAAACTGCCAACACTCCGTGAGTGTATCCAAAACCCCTGCCCGGCACTGGGCCAAGCCCTGCCTGGCACAGCAGCCAACACGGGACCGCAGCCGCCACGGGCAGCCCGGAGTGCCCTCGGCCGGCGAGGGGCACTGCGGCGGGCACTCAGCCCAGGGTGCCCGGGCAGTGCCCACAGGCGCCCTCCTGCCTTTCCCCGCGGAGGACAGAGCCCGGTGCCCGGGTTTGGCTCTTACCACTCTGCCGTCCTTGGCCTCTCGCCGGTGGCCCGGGGCCGGGGGGTCCGCGCCGCCGCTGCCCCCTGCTCGGCCCTCACCGGGCGACAGGGAGTAGAAGGGGGGGCTGGGGCTGGGGGGCAGCCCCGAGTCCGGGCTGTCCAGCAAGCCTTCCCGGCTCTTCTCCTTCAGGCTCTCGTCCATCCCTTGCAGCTGGAGGTGACCTACCATGTCTGGGGGACAGCGAGGGGGCCGCGGCGGGAGAAAATCCTCCAGCGCCGCCCGCCGCGGAGGGAGGGAAGGGGAAGGGAGCCCGGGGGGCCCCTCCTGCGTCCCGACCGCCGCTACCAGCCTGCCGGAGCCCGGTGCTGCGCGGGGCAGCGCCAGCATCAGCCAGACCGGGGTGTCCCGGCCGCCTCCCCTCCACCGGCCCTGGCCCTGCCGCCCCCGCCCTCAGGCGTTCCCAGGGGAGGGAAGCGAAGCCCGATCCCCCCGCCCAGCCCCACGGGCCGAGTACGGGCAGCAGCGGCCGCGGCGGCCCCGCCGGCAGGGAGCGCTGGGCGCGGCGGGGGACGGGATGGGGACGGGACAGGGATGCGCCGCGCTCGTCCACAGCCTGCGCCGCCCGCCGCCTCCCGGCGGCTCATTTATCCGGAGAGGGTGGGAGGGAGCCGGGCAGCGCCCTCCCCTTCCCCCGGCCCCCCAGCTCTGTCCCGGCCGCGCGTTCTCGGGCGCTTCCCAGGCACGGAGCGCGTTCGGCGCCGCCCGCCCGCCCTCTCCCTCCTGAGGGGACGGGGCAGCCCCCGCGCGCGGCCGGCGGGACAGGGGTGTCCCCACACACCTCCCCGAGGGCTGTGCCTGCCCTCTGCTCGTTCCCGCACTGCTGTCCCGAGTTCTCCCTCAGTTATGTTCCATTTTCCCCTCCGTTTTGTCCCTCTGCGATCTCTGCACGCTCCAAGGCTGGGAAAGGGGCCTCGCCACATGCAACACGCCATCACAGGGGCACAGCTTACCTCCACTCATTCCCTCACTGCTGTCCCAAGGTTTCCTGCACTCAGAGCTGATTTCCCCCTCAGTTCTGATTTTCATCATCCTTTTTTCACCCCCACACCCCCAAAGTAGCCTTTCCCCTCAGTGTTGTGGCTTGTGGGCATGAGGGAAGAGACTTTCCTCTTGAGAGCCATCATCCTTCTTTGCTTCGAGTTGGCAAAAGGCAGCTTCACCAAGGGAGCAGGTCACCATGGCAGTCTTGGCTACCAAGGTGCACAAATCCACCATATCCCGTCATGGCAGCCCTCACACCTCCTGCCTCCCTCACGCCTCTTTCTTTGGCTCCACAGTTTTTGGTTCACAACCAAGGAATCAGCCTCCTTATCCCAGCCATTGTGTGGTCAATGCCAATGTAAACACCACAGAAGGGCATCCCAAATCACAGCACAGCCTCTAGCCAGGAGGAGCAGCATGTGCCAGCACGGAGGGGAATGAAGAGTCCACATGGACCCTCAGGGTTCAGAGAGGCAGCAGTGGTTAAACAGGTCAGGCTGGCTGAAGCCAATATGGTCATTTGTTGCACAATAACCGGTTGAAGCTAATGTTACCTTGTCCACAGCCCTGGCTGTGTTTTTCTCATCATGTTTTCTCTCTACATAGAGTCTAGACTGTGAGAAATCTGGGGCAAGCCCACTCATATGGCTCAGCTCAGTGGAGCTTTATTCATGGCAAATAGGTTTCCATGGGAAGCTGTTGAAATCCAATTGGCCTTCTCTTGGTCCAAGTTATTGGCCCAGCAGTGAGAGAAATGTGTCAGTGCTACAAAATGGACAAACACAATGCTTGTTGTGGCAACGAGTGAAAATGTGAGGGGTCTGATACTGTACCTAGTGATAAAGGCTTCACACCCAAACCACAAAGATGGTGCAAAGTCCTTGGAAGTTGGGTTGAAATTAAAAGTGCCCCCACTGCATCCTCCTGAGGGAGTGGATCCCACTATGTGTTCTTACTAAAGTCAAAAGAGAAGGCTAAGGATGCCCAAATCCACCTTTGACTGAAATGAGGGGCCCTCCTCAGAGTGACTGAAGCGATTTGTATGCGCTGAGCTGTGCGGAGGAATGTCACTGATTTGTAAATGTCAAACAGGCACCGAGCAGCCCACACACGAACCTCAGTGAATTCTTACCTCTGACCCGCTCGTCGGCTCCAGCAGCTGCACGGGCAGATTTAGAGCCCCTTACTGTAAGGGCTCTCATGTCTCACACAGGCTGCGGCTGATCTGAAAATGTCAAAGGGGACTGAAGGTCAAAATTTCCATAAATTAGTCCCTGGCTTGCTACCTATCAAGTAATAGGATTCTCTGGCCAGTTAACACTGTGAAGTCAGGCAATCAGCCCAGCAGTTCCCCTGCAGCCCAGTTCCCTGCCCCTCTCCTGAACTGGCTCAAGACCATGTGTGCAAGGGGAAGGAGTGTCTTCAGAGCTGCTTTCCTCCTCGGAGAAAAAAGGAGCAGGACAAAGAGACACTGGGCAGGGGTGAGTGCACCATCATTTTGTCCTAGAAAGCCCTGTTTTAACTTGGGGAGCAGTCGAGAGGAGACTGGTTTTTCTGTTTCTTGTTTTGAGAAAACTACAATGCAATCTTTCCCAGACCTAAATAATGTATGTTTCTAAAGGTAGATTTCAGTACAACACGTGTTCAGCTCAGAAGTGGTTGTTATGGTTTAGGAGTTGCTGAGTTCCAAACAGCTGAAGACACAAAGCACTGCTGAGCATCCCCCAGCACTGATAGGGATGTTGACTTCATTTATGAGTGGCAAAACTGCTGCTGGTTCTTGCAAGGCATGTGTACACACACCTAATGTTGATATTGTTATTATGGTTGTTGTTGTTGTTCTGCAGCGCGTGTGTGAGCTGTGGTGATATTATTGTTATGGTTATGATTAGTAATTTGTTTAAAGTTCGTAGTGTGTTGCACAGGGCAGGCAGGTGGTAAGAAATGCTCCTGTCCTGATGGTTGTGATGGAAGTGACTCGGACTTTGGTCAGAGTCCTCCTGGAGTCACAGTATCTTGCTCTTGGCCAGTGAAAATCTGTCTGAAGGGAAACTTGGTGAAGGATTCAGTGTGCAGACACAGTGTATATATGGTGTGGTAGAATTATGCCTGGTGAAATGGGATTTAAATATTGCACCGTGCCCTGTCAAAGGATAAAAGGAGAAAAACAACAAATTTTTTCAGCTGAGGCCATGTTGCTTTACTGAAACCCTCCTTAGTTCAGCACTTCGTGAAAATCAGCCTAAATGGAAACTTGGTGAAGGATTCAGGGTGCAGACAGTGTATATATGGTGTGGTAGAATTATGCCTGGTGAAATGGGATTTAAATATTGCACCGTGCCCTGTCAAATAAAAGGAGAAAAACAACAAATTTTTTCAGCTGAGGCCATGTTGCTTTACTGAAACCCTCCTTAGTTCAGCACTTCTTCATTTGCTGGAAGGAATCACCAGGGACTGGTGCATTCCTGTGTCTTGGCCTGGGAAAAGGGAAACTGGGCCCTTGTGTGTATGGTGGGACAAGGAGGAAGGAAAAGTCTGGACGGGAGTTTTCTAAAGCAGCTGAGTAGAGACAAACAGGTGCAAACACAGTGGTACAAGGGCAGCAGTGTGAAGGCACAGCCTGGGGGAGAGTGACCTCCACTACCAGCACTGTCTCCAAAGGAAAAATCCTGCCTTGCTGTGAATTTGAGTGTAAAACTGCAAATAAGAAGTAGGGAGTCAAGTAGCAGAAAACTAGGGAATATTCCAGCAGGACTGTATCTGTTAAGATTTTCTCTCAGGCAGTGGTGCCATCCTGACAACAACAACAATTAGAGGGCTTTTTGAGGCACACATTTCTCAGAGCTTCTCCAACTTTTTTTTCATTGATCTGTTTGTTATAAAACACAAAATCCCAGGCCCAGTCCTGAAACAAGTGGGAGGTCATAAGAGAGGGACGGTGTGGACAGTGGGGGCAGGAACCCAGACAGCCCTCCTGATGTGAGCAGCTCTGCTCCTGGATAAAAGCTGGTATCCTTGCTCAAATCCACTGGGATTCAAGCCTCTCCATGCTTTTATGAGTCTTCTGCCTTCTGTTTTCCTAGCTGTTCTCTTAGCTAGGTTTGAGTACTTTAGGAATCTGCCGTCCCACAGACATGGCAGAGAGTCAGCATCACGTGCTAAGTTTCCTTCCACTGCTGCCAGGCTTGAAAGACAAATACAGTGAGGGAAGAAAGAGACAGGATACAAACACCTACATCAGGACTTTTTCTGAAGCAGGCTGGGTGGCAAAACAGGAAGAATGCTAGGAATGTCCATTCTGGTTCACTGTCGAACCCGAGCCTTGAGAACACCCACAGTGTAACTCCAGTCCCAGTAAGAATGGCTCGGGCCACGGTGGGATGTAACTGTGCTCTCTGGTTCTCCCCAAAGAAGAGCAGCCTTCCCTCTCTCCTCATCAGGAGCCATGGGATCCTGATGACACTGTTGAAAGGCACCAAAGCAGCAGCATCACTGAAGGGAATATGACCACAGAGGAGGACCCAGGTCTGTCAGACCCAGACCACCCTTGCCTGGCACACTGCAATTGTTCACCTCAGGCCAAAATGATTCCAAGCATGAGGGCAGAAAACCAATGCTCACTGCACTGGTCCAGATGTGATACAAAGAGCAGGAATCACATCCATAGTACTGGACCTGGAAACCACATGCCAATAATGATTAATTTTGCAGAGTGGCGGAGTTCAAATCAAAGGAACCTTTCTGCCTGAAAAGCAGAGGCTATTTATCAAGAGATAAAATCACCTCCTGATAGATCTACTCATTTATTTTTAGGCAGCCCCTACATCAGAAATTTTTTCGACCTTGACTCCCTAGTTTGGCTGTCTGCTCCAGTGAGGGCCACAGCCCCCTCAAGTGATGGCTGCACCTGCTCTGGCCCTGCTACCCTCACCAGACAAACAGCCCTCCTAGCAGTGACTTGGAACAAACTGTCTGGCAGGAAATGGGGATGAAAAGCACAAGAATCTCCTTTTCTGGGGTCAGGAGTGCCTGTTCTTGGCAATAAATCAAAGGAAGCAAATTTCCTTTGAATAGCCTGGACTTGAACAAAGCGGTCCATCTCCCAGACAAGGCAGTAGACTTTGTGACTGCAGGAAAGAAGGATGATCTTTGAAGAGCATGCACAGGGTTGTATGAGAGTGTTGCCTTTTCATATTTTACTGCAGTGTGTAGATTTGTGCCACAATCCAGACAAAAATCCCCAACTGAACGCTGTATTACAGAATGAGCAAAGGCTCTGGAGCACAGAAAAATTATCAAGACTTCTGCTGACCCTGCTTGCCTTTGAGTAGGGTGCCACATGATGA